AGGCCTGTGCGAGGACAGAGCCAGGAGCTGGGACACCGCGGAGTGCGAGCTGCCGGCTCAGCTCACTGACATGGCCGCGGCTGTGACCGAGCTGGACCCGGGACCCGGCGGGTGGCAAGCGCTTCAGGGTGACGGTGTCTGGCCCGGGCAGTGTGATGACCATGCCCTCCTCCCCGCAGGCCCAGTGGGACGGCCTGACCGGGCGGATCGCCTTCAACAAGACGGACGGCCTGAGGAAGGACTTCGACCTGGACATCCTCGGTCTCGGGGAGGAAGGCACCGAGAAGGTAACCGATAACAGAGCCACAGAAGGAAACGGAAAGCACGGCCCACACATTCCCACGGCGAGCACAGTCCGGGGCGCGGGCGTCCGGCGTCTCCCAGGCCTCCTGCCTCACAGACGGAGGCTGACGCCATTCTCAGGGCACAGGGTTAGCAGCAACGCCATGAGCTTGTAGAGCCGCGTGCTCATGTCGCTTCGCATCACCCGACTGGGTGTCCCTGGCCCCGTTCCTCGCGGGATTAAGAAGTAAGTTTGGACGGAAGTCAGAGGTTCCCCGGTTTAGCTTTGGAGGGGTGCCCACCGTGACCCAGAGTTCAGTGTTGGCTCACCCCCCAGTGAGGCTGGTGCTGGAGGGACACCGTGAAGGAGACAGGAGCTCCGCAGAGCGAACCAGCTCTGCCTCCTTCGTTTTGGGGGGAAATACGCCCAACGTGTATTTCAATGGTGGAATCTGGTTTTAGGGTTAGGTCTGCTGTAACTCTCAATCTCTCAAAGTTTAAAGTTCCATTTTAGTTACTACTTAGAGCAATTTAAACGTAACTATTTAGTTATCTATATATATAAAAGCCTAAGAGACCGTTACGACTGAACAACTAGAATGACCGGAACGACTGGTCGACCAGTTGCTATGACGTGCACTGACCACCAGGGACCAAACGCTCAACACAGGGGCTGCCTGCTGGTGGACAGTGCGCTCCCACATCCAACCTCCCATGGCCAGCCAAACTCCCGTGGTCCCTCCCCCACCCTGGCTAGCCAGCCTTCCACAGTCCCTCCCCCCTGCGGGCCAGCCCCCTGCAATAGGCCCTGATTGGAGGGCCAGCTGGCCAACCTCCCAGGGTCCCTCCCCCCAGCTGACCAGCCCCCAGTAGACCTTGATCGCAGGCCAGGCCGAGGAACCCCACCCAA